CAGAGTGACGGAAAGATGTTTCATCATCGCGTCAAGTTGACCGCGTAGGGATAGAATCACAGAGTCGTTGGAAAAGACCTTTAAGATTTAGGGCCGTGGTTTAGAGGTGGACCAGGCAGTTAGGCTAACAGTTGGGCTCGATGATCTCGGAGGTCCTTTCCAACCTTAACGATTCTGTGATTCTATGATTCATCCAGCCCAACCGTTAACCCAGCACTGCCAAGGCCACCACTAACCCATGTCCCTCAGCACCACATCTCCCCGGCTTCTAAATACCCCCAGGGGTGGGGACTCCACCGCTCCCCTGGGCAGCCTGTTGTGAGCGTGGGCTCTACCCCCTGGTTTATCCACCGCGTGATTTGGAGAAGATCATAAAACTGCTAAAAACCGCTCGTAGGAGGCGGGGGGCCCGGCTGCCCTCGTGCAGGGTCACTCGCGCGCCTTGGGCTGCCCGGCTGCCTGGGGGAGCCTGATGGCTCCCGCGCAGGAGGAGGAGGAGGTGCTGCGCGTTGCCTGCATCCTCTGACCCCTCGGCCCGACCCGGCCGGGGCTCACACCAGTCGTCCCTGTGCAGAATGGGAGCTTTCCGTCGGAGGCGGAGGCGCGTTTGACCCGCAGAGGTTTCCTACGGATGGTTTCAGGGAGCCGTGCCGATGGGCGCCTGGCGTGCGCGTGGCGCTGCAGAAGCCGGACCGCGTGCCCCGCCTGTGCCGGCTGGGAATTTCCTTCTCCCCGGGGCTGATTGCGCCTTGTTTTACAGGTGAGGCTCTCTTCTCAGGCTCCCGGGCTGCTCTGAACTTCTCTAACTATTCTTAGCAAATTTATTTTTTTTGTTCTTTTTTCTCAAGTGGGGCTGAGCGATAACTTACATCGGGAAATCCTTGCTCTGAGTGGATATGCAGCTTATGAGTTTTGCTTTTTACTCAGTCTTATTGTTGCCATTTTATTCGGGGTGAGTTTCGTATTGGTGGAAGTTGTCTTCCAGATTCCCAGGAATCCCGATGTGCCCGTGGAGAAGGAGCTTCTGGACTCCTGAAGGGTGATTTGTACCCTCTCGATTCCGTGAATCGTGAGGTCCCATTTCGGAAGAGGGAACTGGACCAGGGCTAGGGCAGGACACCCGTCTGGGGCAGGACGCTACTCCGAAAGTCCTTGGCGAGACGTTGTAAGCAAAGTCTGTTTGGAAAAAGTTATGCTGAACTGCTTTTTTGCTGATATTAGAAATTACGAACTTTCTTGGGAAGGGAGGACGCTCACCGTGACAACACCATGAAATCAGTGAATTTTCTATCTGTTTTTTAAAACGAACCTTATTTGATAGATTTAAAAAATTGTAATTTGAGACCTATGTGCCTACTTTTGCCAGATTTAATCACATTAACTTTTGTCATTCGGCACTAATGAGATCGCAGATTTGCAGGAAGGATGTTAACGACTTGCTTTATTACTTTCTTGTGGTCACGCGTACCCATATGTTATTAGTTGGCTACTGCGTTAATTATAACGGCTAACTAATGACCCGAGCGACGAACAAACCCTGAGACTGACCCGTGTTCATACAGGCTGAGGGGAGGCAAGCCAAGACGAAACTTCTTCGAGGTGTCGCTATAGTAATGAAGTCTGTTATCTGGGGTTGAAATATGGTTAAATAAATCTGGTATCTGAGGTGGAGAGAGGCTCGTGGAGCGGTGGGGCCTGGCTCCAGCGGCGGAGCTGCAGTCCCGCAGCCCCCCCAAGCCTGACCTGGGGCTCGGGGGAGTTTTGGGTTGCGCGCTCACGTCTTTCCTGGCGTACGGAAACGCGCGTGGATCCCTCGGCTCTGCCTCTGGACAAGCCGCCCCAGCCCCGTCCCTGGGCTCAGCACAAGCGGCCGTCGCTCCGCTCGGTCGAGGGAGCCTGGCCACGCCGCTGGTGGGACGGCGGGTGCTGGCGCTGCTGGCTTTAAACCCGGTGAACACAGGCAGCAAAGGTGTCGTGCGTGGACTTGCCGGGCAGCCGAGGTCCCGGCTGGGCTGACGCACACCCGGTGAAGTCCTTAGTGTGCCCTTCTCGCTGCTGGCCCCGCGCGGGTGCTCTCGCCCCGTCGGGATACGGGCAGTGTCGGCGGGGAGATGCTCTCCGTCTGGGCAGGGCTGTGCTGGGGAAGAAGGAGGTAAGCGGGGGAAAGGAGCTACGACACAGCTCATGCTGGTTTGGCTGTTGTTTCTGACTGACGCAGCGTTTCAGCCCTTGAGTATGTTCTTCTTAAGCTTTTTTTTTTTTTTTTTAAAAAACCAGCAGTTTAATAGTGCTTTGCAGACTTCAGTTCTCTCCTTCTGAAGTATGCCAACGTTAGAGATGGGAACGGATGCCAAAGGCTGGATTTCCTTGGGTTTATCGACCAGCAGCTTTGGGTGAAGTTCTGTCGTTCCTGGGACAGAAACGCAGCGGTGTGCCGCAGCCAGCGGGCACGCTGCGGGAGTGGGCAGCACCATGGAAAAGCGTCCTTCGTCCGGGATCGGACACGTCGTGCTCACCGCAGCGAAGTGCCTATTGGGATGCAGCAGCTGCGACAGCTGTCTAGATGTGTATGTGTTTATTTTTTAGGTCAACACCCCCAGTAATTTAAAGCCTTTTTATGTTTGTGACTCGGAGGCTTAGTCTGAAGCTAATGCTGCAGCGATAAATCACCTGCCGGAGCGGACCGACAGCCAGGTCTCTGCCAGCGGAGATGGCCCGGAGGGCTGAGCTCGCCTGCGGGCGCCGGGGCGGCCGCGCTCGCCGGGGTACGGCACCAGCGCCCTGGGGCGAGCAGGGGCTGGATTGCCTGGGAGGGACGGACGGACGGACGGGCGCCCAAAATGAAGGACAGAAAATATCCGCAGCCCCTTCTCCTGGCTGTCCGTGGGCACCTCTGGAGAGAAAACTGGGGTTTATGGCTCCTGGGGGATTTTCAGTTATTTTACCGTGTTAAAAGTAACCTTCAAATGCTTTGCCTGCGTGACTGGGTACGTAGAGAAGACAAAGCCCTCTGCCTTATTTGCTGATGAAAATGCTAGAACTCATTTAAAACGAATCTTTGAAAGGGAACGCTACCTGAGTTGGCAATTTTTTCAGACTACTCAGCAGATTTGCAGTAATTTGCATAATTTTGTTTTTTGCTGTGGTAATGTAAATTATTTTGGTCTACCCTTTCATACCACTACAGAGAAGAAGCCTGTGCTGAGCATCTATTCATCGTCGGGAAAATTGCACATCCTGGAGGCTTTTACCTGCGTTTTGATTAAAGCAGAGGCCGGGGCGCGAGGCGCTTGCCAGGCGCTGAGCCGCATGAGGCTTTCGCTCTCCTTTTCAGCGAAGTCGGGGGTTAGTTGCGTTCTGCCGCACTCATTGGGGAGCTCGCTGCCATCTCCGGGTGGTTCGATGCAGGGAAAAAGTCTTTTCTTTCTGTTGAAGGACGGCTCGCGCCTCTGTAGGCATGGAAAGGAGTCACTGTGGCAGAAAATCGGTGCCGGAGCATACCGCAAGTGAAATGCGGTGGGACTTCCAAACAGGCCGGTGGGGTGATTCACTCGTGCGACTGCTGCTGGTTCTTAGGGGCTGGTCTCTGGAGATGGTTTTGCAAGGAACAAAGATGTGCTGCTTGCTTTATTATGCGTCTCTGCTTCATAATTTGTAAAACAGGCCCTGAAGAGCTTTTGTGGCTTAAAAAAAATAATCAGGAAATTCTTTTTCCATGTGAAGTCCCAGATTTTCTTCCCTGGAGAATTTATGCGACTGCTGGCGAGGAGGGAAGCGGCACCGAGAGGCCGGTGGTGCGCTCGTCTGCTCTGGCTCCACGGGTGATTGCCCCGAACTGGCAAACCTGGCTGACGCGGCTCCTCGCCGCCACCTCTGCTGCCTGTCCCTTCCCTGTGGCGGGTGTCTGCCCGCGGTCACCTCGAAACCTGCCCGAGAGACGGCGTTTCCACAGCTGGTTGGGGCAGCGCGCATGGGGGGTTGGCCATCGTGACGAGAGCGGGCGAGAGGCTGCGGGGAAGGACGTCCGGAGCCTCGTAACTTGGCTTTGCTCTCGGAAAAGCTGTAATGTGGAGCCATGCTGTATCCCGTGGCTGATGGCTTAAAAATCTAGGTGTTTTGGTTACTGTTAATGCACTGTGCTTTTACTCTGGTTATGCTTTGGGAGGGAAACAAGGCAAGCTCTCCCGCAGCTCCCATCCGAGCGCTCTGCAGAAAGCATTCCCCAGACGCCCACGTGCAGCCCACAGCACCAAATGTGATGTTGCTGCAGCAGAAACGGTGAAGTGCTTGATTTCTGAGGCCGGTTTATCTGCTACTGCTCTGCAGACTGACGCTACAGAAAAATAAAAATGAAAGAGGATGAAAGGCGAAAGGCTGGCAGGGTTGTCTCTGTGCTGCGAGGCTCTCGTCCCACTCGATGCAGCCGAGAGGTTGGTCGTGTAGCTCGTGCTCCGCTCCTCCCGAAACAGCGCCCTGGGCTTTTGTCTGCCGGTTCCTGCCCCCGGCTGCCTCCCTGGTCACGGGCGCCTGCTCGGCCCGCTCCTGCCGGCGCAAGCGTTTCGGGGTTTGTCCTGCGTCGCGGTCCGCGCTCCGGTCCTGGCCGTGCAGCGGCGGGAGGGTGTCCGGGAGCATCTCCAGAAGTTGCCCAAGACACATCCCAGCCTCCTCATTTGGAAAGTCATCAGTGCAAGCTGAGCCTAAGCCGGAACATGTCGCTGTGAAAATAACAAAGAGATTTAAACGCTGCGATCTGAAAAAAGGGTCTGCAGGACTGGAGCTGAATTTAGCCGCAGGAAGACAGCGTGACGCTTCTACCTCGTGCGTTAGCAGTAAACCTGCTAACTAGGTGCAATATTTATCAAACCGGCCAGAGACAGCGCTGTGATGGTACACGTCCGATACCTTCTGTTTATAATCTTGCTTCCTCATTTCCTCTGGAAGCACGTTCTGTGTTTTATCTTAGACAACAGACGTTGAAGTCGTGTGTGGACACCCGTAGAATGGATTTTCCATCTGAGCTGGAAGGCAGGGCCAGGGAGCAGAATGAAACCCTCATCATCCAAGGGGAAAGGGCCAGCGACCTGCTGCGCCATGTAGACACGCACAAGTTTATGGGGCCGGATGGGATCCACCCAAGGGATTTTGGGATCCACCAAGCCACTCTCCATCATTTACCAGCAGTCCTGGTCAACCGGGGAGGTCCCAGATGACTGGAGGTTGGTAAATGTGATACCCCTCTACAAGAAGGGTTCCTTTGAGTTTTGTTTATGATGCTCATTTTGTAATTGTTGCTTGACCTGATAACAAATATGTTTTGGTGTTGCTGCAGTTGCCATCTGTTCACTACTGGTGCTTCCTCTGTTCTGCAGGAGTTTATAGCAGTCAGCCAGCTGCGAGGATCCACCCAGGGGAAGATCCTCTGTTTTTATGGCCCCCCTGGCGTTGGCAAAACCAGCATTGCCCGCTCCATCGCCAGGGCCCTGAACAGAGAGTACTTCCGCTTCAGTGTTGGAGGGATGACTGACGTAGCAGAAATAAAAGGACACAGGTCAGTGTAACTTGAGCAGTTTCTCTATCCAGCAATTTTTACTAATGTCCAACTTCAGTTAGGTTCCTGTTTTGACACTGTGTGTACTTTCCTTCTCTGTTCTGCCAACCTTTGCTGACAGGAGTTGGGATATAGGGAGAGGTGAAATGGATAGCAAAGGGCGGAGTTCAGAACATAATCGTATTCTGGTCTCTAAGTGCAGTTGCTCCCTGCTTCTTGTGAGGGCTTATGGGAGATCTTTGAAAAGCTGTGTGAGCTACCCAAAAGCATTGGACCGATGCCAGATGCTAATTCGTGTCTGTCTATAAATGCCAGCGCTAGAGGACGGTGACGGTTTGAGCAGGGTCATTCACGTGTTCAGGTGTGACTGAGACTCGGTTTCCGAATAATCAGGAGGGAGGTGCTGCATGAGGAAAACTTAGGAACAAGAGTATTCATGGGGAGAACAAGAAGGTGTGAATACAAAAATGAGTAAATCTGACCCTGCCACGGGTTTATTTTCCTTCCACATACACCTGAAAACAAAACTAGCACTGTTTTCAAACTAGTAAGAGTAGCAGTTCTGCAGTGTGAATTGAACCTGCGAGGTTCTGCCCTATATGATAGGGTTCTTCTGGGGTTGTTTAGTCTGGAGAAGAGGAGGCTGAGGGGAGCCCTCATCGCTCTCTGCAACGGCCTGAAAGGAGGCTGGAGCCGGGGGGGTCGGTCTCTTCTCCCCAGGAACAAGCGATGGGACGAGAGGGAACGGCCTCAAGCTGCGCCAGGGCAGGTTTGGGTTGGGTATTGGGAAAAACTTCTTCATGGAGAGAGCGGTGAGGCCCTGGCAGAGGCTGCCCAGGGCAGGGGTGCAGTCACAGTCAAGTGCTCAAAAACCGTGTGGATGTGGAGCCTGGGGCCAGGGTTTAGAGGTGGCCTGGCAGTCAGGTTGATGGTTGGGCTCGACGATCTCAGAGGTCCTTTCCAACCTTAATGATTCTACGATTCTACACGTTAATTTAAAGCTGCAAGTATTTTGCAGAATGTTGTTGCTAGTCCTGACAACTGAAAGGATCCAGTGTTTTGGTAGACATTTATTTGAGCATGTAGCATAAGTTTTTAGATTTGAGGTCTTGTTTTTGTTTATGTGCTAGAAAACGGTGATTGCTTTTGTTTTTCATGAAAAGATTATTTTGCGCTTTTGATTTCTGCCAGTTGGATTTGGATGAAAAGCGGAATTCGGTTTTGCGTGGAAAACTGCCATCGCAGCTCTTAGTCACCCAACCTCCTGAGCACGACGGGCGCGCTCTGCATTCAAACCCGAGGCGTCGGCGGGCAAGGGAGGGCGATCGCTTGTCGGTTCGTCTGCTAGCAGGGGCGATTCGGGTTGCTGCGTTTGCCCCGGTTCTCGGTACGGCCGAAGCCTGCCTGCCGCCGCGGCGGCTGGAAGCCCCGCTGGGTGCCCGGCTCCTGCCCGTCTTCCCTTCGCGCCCATCAGCTCGAGCGCGCCCCTCCACAGCTCTTTTCCGTCTCGGGGTTTGGGGGGTGAAAGCGGCCTTCTGTCCTCAGCTGAATAAAGAGTATATTCTTTCACTTAAGCCAAGCCCAGCGGCAATCAAAACAAGATATTTTCTACACAATAAACAGAACTACTGACAAACGGGGTGATGTAAATGCCAAACGTGCTTCACTGTAGAGACTGCTGCGAGGACAACGCCGCAGTGCCGGACTGAACTAGGGAACTTAAGCTGAGCGAGACAGCCGAGCGTCCCCTCCCTTCTGAGCTGTGTTCAAAAGCAGTAGCCTTGTAAAGGCATCGGCATTTGAGGAGGGACTATTAGCATAGCATTGCTTTTTAAACAATTAAAAATGCATGGTTAATTGAGCTCTGTGGCAATATAGTATAAACTTCAGCTGTTTTACTGGGCTTATTTCAGAGGAGGGGCCCCCCCGTAAACTTCATCAGTCTTAAATTAATCTTACTTCATCAGTCTTAAACTAATCTTACTTAAATTCTAGTGGTCTCAAGTACCTTAATGGAGTTCCTCACACCCACGGCCTCACTGATGCTCTAAAAGAGCTGATCAGCGTGGTTGGCTTTGCCTGACCAGAGGGGTTCCTGCCGGGGAAGCCTGAAATCGAATGATGCACGCTGCAGTTTAAGCGTGGGCTCGTGTTGGTGATTGTAACGCTGTGAAAGCTTGGTGAATTTACCACCAGTATTTTCTGCTCCTCAGCATCCTGATGGGAAGCGCCGTTACAATCGCTACCCCGGAGTCGCGGCGCGGAGGGGTCCCGTGAATGCAGTGGGAAACTGGTGTGGGTGGGTGGGCTAACTCGGGCTGGTGGTGGGCCACCAGGTCCTCTTAAATCCCGGCAATGAAACGGGGTAGGAAAGTAAACTGTATCAGAAATGGGTTTTCTGTTCCTGAGCATGTAATGCAAGAGGCTGGAAAGCTGTGGGCAGTTTTTGATATGATGAAAAAAGGATGGAGCAAGTTTAGGTTAAGGCAAGGACGAGTGCACTGGCGTCTGCTGCTGCTCAGGTCGGGGTTGGTGGGGTTTTTTCCCAAAGCCTATAAAAAACTTGTACATTGCGTCTGTGAGTCTGGCGTGTCTGTTAAGAGCAGAAGGGTAGTAGTTAGTGGTGGTTTTGCCATTGTTTGTGATTCCTGCTTGGAGCTGTAATGGAAGGAATTCCCTGTCGCTGGCTGAAGGTGAAGGAGGACCGACCCCTCGGGCTGCGGGTGGCCCCGTGCAGGGCCCGGGTGAGGGGTGCTGGCGGGGAACGGGACGGCCGACCCCTGCGTCCGTCTGTCTGCACCAACTGTGTTTAACTCGCTGTGCTTCTCCTCTCTGTCGTCAGGCATCCAGCACCGGCCCCAGGATGAGCGTGGAAGCGAGCAGCAAGCCCCTGAAGGTGGGCTCCAGGGTCGAGGTCATCGGGAAGGGGCACCGCGGTACGGTGGCTTACGTCGGCGCCACCCTGTTTGCCACGGGGAAGTGGGTCGGTGTCATCCTGGATGAAGCAAAGGGCAAGAACGATGGGACCGTGCAGGGCAGAAAATACTTCACCTGTGAAGAAAACCACGGCATCTTCGTGCGGCAGTCACAGGTACGCTTCCCTCTGCGACGGCCTCTGCTTGCCGGGCTTGTCTCGGTTATCTGTGGCTCACGGGTTGCTTGGTAACATAGAGGAAAATGGCCCTTTGCACCCCGATGGGGAGAGAGAAAGTAAGTTTCCTTCTCTCCCGGAGCGAGCGATGTTTCTGGGACTTTCCATCGTGTGAGGGAGCAGAGCAGCTCCAAAGACAGCCAGCAGCCTCGCCCGGAGGCTGGGCTCCTGCCGCGCTGTGGTTTGTTCCAGTCGGACACACAGCACGTTTCATTGAGCGCTTTGATTAGCCCGGTTTGTGGGGTTGTCGTGAAATATTTTCAGATGAATTGGGCGAAAAAGTTTGGTGAATTCCAGAGGGCGTGGAACGTTTCATCTTGCCTCTGAAAGGGAGGGTAAAGCCTGCCTGCCGTCTGCTGCCTCGGGGAGTTATCGGCTACATCACCTGTAGGAGGTGAAGTTTGGGACCAATATTTGGGTGTTTATGTGGAAGTAAAGTCAGAGAATTTTAATTAAATAATATTTACCTTAAAGGTAAATAAATAGATACCTTAAATAAATAGGTACCTTACCTAAAAATATTTACCGCACATATAAAATGTGTGACTTGGGTTTAGTTGTTGAGCTTTTGCTATTTGCGTACCACGGGTAGGAAACGAGGAGCTCGTTTATGTACCAACAAGTCTCTTCCGTTTCAATTCCCTCTGTGTAACCTTCAAACAGCACCAGCACAGAAAAGCGCCGCTGCTTTTGGGGCCCGCAGGTTGGTGTGCTCCAAGCACGACGCCACGGTGAGAGGCGTTCAGCTCCTCTCCTCCTTCCTTGGCACCAAACGGCGGGTTTAAGTTCGACCCTGTGGCATCCGGGCAGCAGAGCCCCTTTCCACTCCCAGACCCTCCCGCTGCCTCACCAGACGCGGTGACTCGCTTCCAGGACGTTGGCAGCGGGCGACGGAGGACGCTGAACACGAAACGAGGGGTTTTAGGAGCAGGAGTCCTGGGGTGGATCCCAGCATCCTCTGTGCTGGCCAGCGGCAGGGCTCGCGCCTGGTCGGAGGATGTGGTAGCGGTTCACCGGTGGGATGCGAATGCTCTCTGCTGGCTGTTTCGCTGGGACTCACGGACCTGGCTTCCTTGGTGCGTCGCTCAGCCGCGCCTGCCAGCTAGAGAAGTAAATCCGTAGTTTACAATTAAAAGTTTTGGTCTGCGGGACCGGGACGCGCAGCTCCCAGACCGGGTAGCTGGGGAGGAGCTCAGCTCTGCCCACCAAGCCGTGGCCCTCTGCGCCCATCGGACGTCTGGTGACGCGCAGTGGCGCAAATGTGACCCAGGGTGCTGGCGTGGGCGGTCAGCGTTGCTGGGCTCTCCCGGGGCCTTTGGAGGAGTTTCCATCTCGTCTGCTGGCGACGGCAGGGCGGTGGCAGCAAGGTTCCCGTGTACGGCCTTGCACGGGGGTGTTTGCAGGTCAGACCGAAGGCTGCTCTGTGGTGTCTTCTCCTGGGACTCGAGACCTGCTGGGTTGCAGGAGCCGGCCTGAGGAGCCACGTGCAGGAGGGCTGAGGCTCGCTCCAGGGTCCGACAGCCGCCTCTCGCTGTGCTTCCCCTTTCTCGCTTTGGTTTTGGGACGGTTGGGTCTTTGTCTCGTGCGTCCCCAGCTGAGGAGCACACGGCGTGCTTAAAAACGAGCTGCTTTTCCACGGCGATGGGGAGTAGTTTGTCTCTGCCCGCTCTCCCCTGCGAAAGCGCAAATCCCTGATGTGCGTGTGCGGAGGAGATGCACCCGTGCCGGTGGCACCGGCCGTCCCTCTGAATCTGTGACCTGTGTGGAAAGGTGAACGTGGTGAGCAGAGGGGAGCGCGATCTTTGAGGAGCACATCCAGCGTGGACTGCAAACCGCAGCGATTCCTGCGCCTGCCTCACGCGGTGGTTGCCGAACAGGCGCAGGGCCGCGGCGCTCTGCTCTCCAGCCGCTTTCTCCGGCTCTTCTTGCGGAGCCCCGCTTCCCAGGGCTTGCCGCAGGCGTGCTGGGCGAGCCGGTGAGTCAGGCTGCACCGGAACAGGAGACGGCAGAGGTGGCGGAGGAAGCCGCCCGGGGTGTGGGCGGCCTGTCACTAAGTGACCATTACGCTTTGGGCATTAATTTTTCAAGAACTGGGTTTAAGGTATAAATGGAAAATGGCAGGACGCCCTTTCAGCGGAGTTAATGCTCTGCTGGTGCTCTCCACTGTAAATCTGCCTACTGCTTCCTCCCGTATTTCATTTCTGGGTCTCCCCAGCAGAGCGGGTGGCTGTCCTGTGGTTCCGCGTGGTGTCAGGCCACTGAATGTCAATAATAAATCATTTTTTTCGGGGGAACAGAACGATTGCTTATGAAGCAGATCACCAGATCTCATTGCTTATGAAGCAGATCACCTGCATCAATACAGGCACATCTTGCTAAACACTTGTAAAGTGTTTTTAAGGATTTCCAAGACTAAGTAACTTCCTCTTCTCCCCTGCACTTAAAAATATATCTCAGAAAGTGAGCACCAGTGATACCAGCATCAATAAAGCCTAGCAGTATTCTTAGTCTTTTAATTTATTGTGGAGTTTCAGCTTTAAAAATGCACTGATGGGAAAATTTCCAAGATTTTAGGTGAATTTTTTTTCTATTTCATGCAAAGATCAAAGCAGATCCCGCACAAGGGATTTGATGGTGTGCTTTAGCTGTGACAAAGCGCTCCTCTCCTGGGGAAGGATCAAGCCCACGCGATGCGCGCGCTCCAGCGCGCCCGGGTCCCTGCCGGCGGCAGCGGGGGTGCGCGTCCCAGCCGCGCCTCGCCTTGCTCCGAGGGAAGCAGAGAGCCGAAAGAGCCAAGAAAATCAGCAAACCACTTCTTGCTCTGCGCCTGCGCGTGAAGCAGCGCCCCGTGGGGCAGCAGGCCGGGTCTCCGTAAGCGTGGTAGCTCTAGGGGCGTCCCTGTCTCCCGGCGGGGTCGCCGTCCCGGAGCTGGGTCACACTGTCCCCTGGGTGTCCTGGCCGGGAGGGACACCCGTCCTGGAGGGAAGCGGCTGCGGGGAGCTTGGAGCTCGGCAGAGCCGTGAATGGAGGCACTCGCCGCTGCGGCGCTGAGCCGGGGGGGTTCGGCTCGCCGTGCAGAGGTGGGTGCCACGAGGGGCTGTGGTCTCCCTGCTGCTGGCCGTCCCCTCCCTGCCTGCGTCCCAGCTGGCGGAGGGCTGCGGCACTGTTTCGAGCAGCTGTGTCAACACGGACAGGCATTTCCGAGCACGTGTTTGCTCGTTATCTTTTGGCAACCTTAACATTTTGCCTGCCAGGGACTTGTATTTGGGCTGGTAATTTTGAACACAAGCATTCTTTTATGGTGTGTGGAAACATTATCGCCGATTTTGACATCAAGTGGGGCCGCTTGGCGGAGGAGCTCGTCAGCTTAAATCTGCTGCTGCAGCACGTCTGGTACCTTGTCCCGCTTCTCCAGCCTAACCCAAAAGCAAGCCCTGTCCTGGTCCCTGCCGCCGCCTTGTTAGCCACCTCCCAGCAAGGCTGGTGTTGGCACCTGAGTCTGACCTGGTGGGGCCCCCAGAGCCGCTCAAAATCCCACCCTGGCTTTGGATAAACTCCTGTGCGTGGCCTGGTGCAGCAGATCCCCCGGGATCCCGTTTCCGCGGTCCTCGGGTCTGGTTTTGTCGCGCTGCCGTGTTTAGTGAAAAGCTGTGACGATCTGCGCGTTGCCGAGTCGCTCCGCAGACCGGGCGCCCTGGCTGTGGCGGGACCCGCTCTCGCGTGGTCCGAGGAGCGCTCGCCGCCTCCTCGCTTCCCAAACCGCATTTTTTTTCTCAGCATTGGCGCAGTTGTCGCGATTTCTGTGGCGTCATTTTGCTCAGTCTCCTTCCTTCTTTTAATTTAAGAGTCTGCTCCCGGTACTGGGGCATCTGCCCAAAATAGAAACCGTGGCTGACAGGTTTACAGATTATTTTTATTTTTAAACTGAACTCCCAGGTTTAAGGTTTTCATGGGACGGATCAGGCAAAGACCTGTCAGGGGCGGCTGCGGCAGTGTCGATGATCTAAGGTGAAGGGGTGCTTCTCAAGAAGTGGTCTAATCCTTTCCAGCATTGTTTTCCATATTGATCAGGCAAAAACGTGTGCGAAAGTAGTTAACAAAGAGATAGCCCTAAACCTTCAGCCCTTAGAGAGCTTCACAGGGCTCGAGCCTGGCGGCGTTCCTGTCTGTGCCGCCCGGGTGTCCGCAGGGTGCCGGGCAGCTAACGACTGACGAGCCGAAACCACCCCGCTCTGTTGGCTGCGCTGCGTTCGGGGTCACCCGCGTTCTCCGTTCAGAGAAAAGCAGTTCTCCTTATGTAGAGATAAAAGACTTTTAAAACAATTTTTGCTAAGACAACACGCCAAAAATAAAACCTGAGCTTTCTGTCAAGTGTCCGTAACTGAAAATGACTGCCAGGCCAGGGCTGATGGACGGATTGCTGTGTAGAGCGGCGGTGGAACTGTTAAAGATGTTCTGGGCTGTCGAATCCTGAGTTTTGACTTTATTTATTCCTTGTGTGGATATTCTTTATTCCCTACGTGCATAAAGAGTATTTTGCTGTTTTCAGGAAGGCTGTGGAAGGAGGAGGGTCGGATAGCTGAGCCTGAACGACTAAATTAAAAATCTGTGCCGAACAAATGCAGTCTGCACTCTTTAAATCTGCTACCAAAATGGACCTGGTTTCTGGTCGTATTCTGCTTATGGGTTGGGTTTGGTTGGTTTTTTGTTTGTTTTGTTTTGTTTTGTAATAATAGTTGTTATACTTTTTCCAGATCCAGGTCTTTGAAGATGGAGCTGATACAACGTCCCCAGAAACACCAGAATCTGCTGCCTTGAAGGTCCCCAAAAGAGGTACGGCTGGTCTGTTTTGCCCCGAAACCTTCTCTCTCCCTTGGTCTGGAGCAGACAAGGTTCCACTGCCGAACGGGCGTCGGGGTCCCCGCGCTGGGGAGGTGGGTGCCGGCTGCCGGGGGGCGATGCCTGTGTCCGGGGCTCTGTCCCCGGCTTGGGCACACGCTCGCCTCCCCCGGCTCATCCACCTCTCCCCTCGTCCTCTCTGTGAGCTCCTGCGCAGGCTTTGGGCATCGCAGAAGGAAGCACAGCATGCAAAAGTTGCTCCCGGGCAGTTCTGTCCTGACCGTGGAAGTCTGTCTGGTGGGAAGCAAGTGGGGGATCCTTCCCGGAGGGGTGGGGGTCCTTCCTGGAGGGGTGGGGGATCCTTCCCGGAGGGGTGGGGGATCCTTCCCGGAGGGGTGGCGCAGAAGGAAGCACAGCATGCAAAAGTTGCTCCCGGGCAGTTCTGTCCTGACCGTGGAAGTCTGTCTGGTGGGAAGCAAGTGGGGGATCCTTCCCGGAGGGGTGGGGGTCCTTCCCGGAGGGGTGGGCACCTGGAAGGAAGGCTCGGACTGCCCCGCTGCTGTGAAGCGGCAGCGTGCGGGTCACTGGCCGCTCGGGGCTGTGCCTCATTCCCACCGCTCTGGCAGCGAGCGCTTTCTGCTCGGCGCTGAGCCGTCCTTCCACTTCTCCCCTTGTCAGGCCGCTCTGCAATAGCTCGCTTTGTTTGGTGCCTCGTGGGTTGCTCTTTTTTCCTTCTGACAGCCTTGCCTCCCTGTGAGCTCTCTTTTTGTTGAGGAATTACGTAGTGGTGCGCTTAGGGATCCTAGGAGCTTGTGGGAAAAGCTCTGATGCTTCCTGCCCTGGACGGCCTGTCGGCGCTGTGTGCCAAGCCGGGGCTCCTTGGGCGTGAAGCGCTTGTTGAACACAAGCTTAACGGTTCAGAATAGGGTTGGGTTTTTTGTTGGGTTTTTTGCCCCTCTCCCGGCCAGTAGAAATTAAAATTCCCCTTTATTTGGCGAAATGAAATCTACCCTTCAGCTGCATAAGACGTGCCCAGAGGCATCAGAAGGGGGTGATGTTAGCCTGGGAAGTGGGGTGTTCCCATGAGACGTTAATTCTGCCGGTCCCGTGAGCGGAAGGGAAATGCGAACTGGCGCTCGCGTCCCTTGGCGCTCGCGTCCCTTGGCGCTCGCGTCCCTTGGCGTTCGTGTCCCTTGGCGCTCGGCCTTCACCTGCTCCTGCAGGGAGCTCCGGGCCCCAGCAGCTCGCTGCCGCTGCGGAGAGCTTGGGTTTGCTACAGCCCAGCCACTTTAATTCATCTCTGCTTTGGATCCTCCAGTTCGCGCGTGCAGCTGAACAGGGAAACATTTGAAGCAAGCCAGTTTTAATTTAGGGGTGGGGTTTAATGCAAAAAAAAAAGAAACTTTTGTGCTTAGAACACTAGCACGAGTGTTTTTTTTCCCAGAGCGCTAGAAAGGCCAGCCTTTCACGTGCAGCTTCAGCCTGCACTTTGTATGGGCTTGGTACTAATAGTAAATGAAAATATTCCTTAAGGTTTATATGATCTTTTCAGTCTTTCTCAATTCAGACTTTCCAGCTGGAAATTCAGTTTTCCTCGTTACGGTTCTGTACTGGGTTAGGATAAGGCGCTTGTCTGGAGCTGTGCGAGCATTTCCCCCGCTGCTCCTGTAGGTCCGGGCTTTCCGAACCCGTCTTAGCGGGTGCTGAACCCGTGCGAAAGCCGCAAGCCTGCCTGCGCTGGGAGGCTGCCGTCCTCCTCCTCATCCCTCGGTTATTCGCAGCTAGGGAGAAACGACAAGGGCTCTTTGGACCCTCGCTTGACGTCCTGAGAGTTCAGTAGCAGCTGATGCTTCCTTGCGCTGGCAGATGGGAACGAAGAGACCAGAAGTACGTTAACTGCTTGGAGACAGGGAAGCCTTGGAAGAAGCCACAAACCAAACCTCTGGGTTCAGCGTGGCTCTTCAGCAAACGTTGCTGCCTTTTAATTGCACTACATCTGTCTGTGTCCATGCGATGAATCTTTAAATCCTGTGCCATCTCCCCTCTCGTTATCTGGAGGTCTTCCCAAGGCTCTCATCTCCGCTGCCTCCTGCAGGGTTGTCTCTGGTTCTTCTAAAACCTTTACCTGGGGCGAGCAGCGGTGGCTGCGGCGTCTGGAGGTGTACGGCTGCGCACTCGCAGCACGCTGCTGTGGTGTTTGCAGTACTGCCTCGCCTTTCTCGGAACGCTCTGAGGTTTGTTCTGGCTGCCCAGCGGCGTTCACTGAAGTTCTGCGGTGATGCTGTGGCCCTTTTTCTTCCACACGTATACAGAAAGGAATAACACCCAAGCAGGTCAGGTTCCCCCTCCGCTGCGCAGCATCAGCAGTGCTGCCTCTGCCTCTTGCCGCTCGGAGCCCGTTGCAGGGCAGGAGCCTGCGAGCGCCATGCGGGAGGGGGAACGGGGGCGTTCAGCTCAGGTTTGGGGACTGCAGGATGGCTGTCACCAGCGTTTTCCACTGCTGTCCGCAGGCAGCAGCGCGGCTGGCCGGGAGTACCGCGAAGGGACAGGCGCACGAGCTGGAGCCAGTCCTTGATGGTTGAACTGGTGGGCGCAGGGGCCGTGCAGCAGCGGCACGGCGGGTGGACGCCGGCCAGGTCCTGCGGCGGCACGAGAGGGAGCCCAGGCGCGCAGGCTCGGTGTTGGCCGCAGTGCTGGGATGCAGGCGCTGGGATGCGGCTGCTTCCAGGGAGTTTCCATGGAAACGGCAGCGCCGCTGCTGCAGTCTGACTGCGGTGGGCGATGCAGAGATCGCTCTTCCCATAGATCCAGCACCTCCCGCTCCCGGCCTGGCAGAGGCGTGAGGCACGCAGTGGAGGCGGCTCCTGCCTTTTATTTATGAGAGGCTTCTGCAGCATTTGCTGTTGGGGTGATCAGTGCCACGGCTGGAAATATTAAACCCTGCTGGAATTGCAGCTGGGAGAGGAGCGGAACAAGCAGCCCCCGTGGCTGTGAGCTGCTCCTGGACCCACCGGGCATCCAGAGGTGGAGCAAAGGATGTAATTTAGCCAAACCTGCAGTGGTTACCCACATCTCTGAGGCCCATAAGCCAAGATCATGCAGTCTGGTTCCTCCACACTCCTGTACGCGGCACTCACTGTGCTGTCCCGCTGTGCGCACCGATAATCCAGAGAGCAAGGGAGGCGTCCCGAGCTCGGGGGAGGCGGGTTTGGGTGGGTGCTGGGGTTTAGCCCGGCGCCGACACCTGCCGTCCTGCCGCAGTGGCCGGGCTCCGTAATGGGGCGTTCGCGGGTCCTGTCAGGATGATGAAACGGGAGCAGCTCCTAACAGCCGGCTCGCCACCGGTTTAGCGACCTGGGGAAGGCCAGTGGCTGAACTGTCGGCAGATGTTGCCGGCGGCCGCCCGTGTGCAGGAGGTTTGCTCTCTGAGAAGTGGGAAGGACCTGTCTGCTGAGCGGGAGACCCAGCAGGGCTGTGGATGCCCCTCTCGCGGAGGTTTCCTGGGCCGAGCGGGAGAGCAGAGCTCAGCCGGTCGGATTGGGAATGTTTCCGAGAGGTCTCTTGTACACCTACCTCGTGCGTGTTCAGATTCCTGGCTGCATACGGACCGGCATGGAAACCTTTTATTTTGCCGCATGAAGTAAATGGTCTCTGGACCTGTATTTCTGATGATTCTCCCATGAGATTCTCATTTGGAATCCAGCTGATCGGATCTGGTCGTGCGGACCGCTAGGCTGCTGTGCGATTCCGATAGAGCACTCCGAAGGTGACGCAGCGTTCTCTGAATTGCAGTAATTTAACTCAAGGAAAGCAGCGTAGCCTGACCTAGTTCTGACGCCTGCGTCTGAACGTTTGGCTTTCCCGAGCCGTGCCAGCGGGTCTAATAAGGGAGCCCCTGTTCCTCCGAACCCGTGCCCCGCTGTACCGCCGTTGCCTGGTGCACCCCGAGCTGCACGGTCCCTGCTTCACACCCGGTTCCCTAAGAACATGCGTAAACGGTCCTTTCGCTGTGCCGCGACACGTGCTGGGCTGCAGAGGCGCTCGGCCTGCGCGTCAGGCCGGGGGCGTCCTTCGGGCCAAAGCTCATGGTTCTCTTGCTGTTTTTCTTTGCAGATTCCCTGGACGCCGCCAAAGCCAGCAAACTGGTGAGTGCCGAGCCCGCGACTGCAGGCTGCTGGAGGAAATTCCCTTGGCAGCGCGCGATTAGCGGAAGGGGCAGGCTTGCACATGCCACTCTTGGTTTTTCTTCATTAACTTTTATCACCTCTCTAAAAGCTCCACTTTTCAACCCTGCAGGAGAAGCGCATGGAGACACACACGTACCCACACCGTACAGCAAAGACAGTTTTGCCAGCCTGTCTCTTCTTTAGTCCTTTTCAGTTCTGTGCTCTGTAATAACAATGCCTGTGGTAAAGTGAGTTTCTTCTGAAACCCATGGGAAACAAGGCCCTATAAAAAGTAATTTTCAGCTAATGACCAGAAACCAGTAAGGTACTGAGGACTAAAACCCCCGCGCGTTTTCCTGTATTACACGCTTTATCTAAGTTCAATCGATACTGCAACATTCACGCCCTGCGTGCCTCTTGGCTCTGTTCCTCTAAATAATGACCCTTACATCCCGCAGGAAGA